TGTTGATTTATCCAGCCCCCATCCTAAGTCATGAATGTTGTGGAATTTTTAATGTTGTTTTTTTTGTATGTCCCCCCCTTCCTTTTTTACCTGTAAGCCGCCCTGAGTCTCTCGAGAGTGGGCGGCATACAAACCAATTAAATAAATAAATAAATAAATAAATAAATAAATTCAGAAGGAAGCTAACACAAGAACCTAACTTAATTTCCATGGGGGGAGGGGGGGATGCTATAGAGGACTGCCGTTGCCACCAAAAAATCAGGTAAATTTATATAGCTCCTATGTACAATCCATTTTAGTAACTGGTTAGATAGATGAAAAAAATGGAGGAAGGAGTACTATGTCCACTGCATGTTGAATGAAAATTCAATAAATAGTACATCTAACCTATTACCCATCTTTTGTTGCTAATAAACTCTCTCGTTTCCAATGAGCTTACTTTCAGATTTTGGAATAGATTGTAGATAAAGAACATTTGACCTAGGTCAGTGTGATTTAAACTCCAAGGCTAAATGAAGCTCCACCATGCCATTCGTTTATCTTACATTTATCAACAATGTGACTGGAGTAAACATTCAATGTTTCAATTAATTTAAGTGTCACAAGGTCTATGGACACTTAGATAGATTTTCTCCATGATGATCTCTCCCAAAACTGGACATTCAGGTATTTTTTATTATTTTAATGTTTTCTTATACTTTTATGAATGCAAATAACACAATAATTGTATTAATGCATATGAATAATAATAACAATTACTAATACATTATATTTTGATTATGGTGGTATTTGTCCAGTATTAATTAAACATGAAGGCTATGATGATTTAGGTAACTTAACTTTGAAAGATAAGGAAAAATGTATTCAAAAATATTTCTTGCTCGGAACCTACTTATATCTCTTCCAAATTAGTAATGAAGTAAAACTCAATTTGTTCATATCATTTCACTTAAATCCAGATCATTATTGGGCCCAAATATCCCCCTATTTTCCCCCACAAGTAGCTATATATAAAACAGTGCTGAATACAGCTTCAAAACCCTTGAAAATATATCTCAGAATCTTTATATCACTACACGTTAGAAATGGAAGTAATACAGAAGCTTAAAAACATGCACAGGTTAGATTATTTCCCCTACAGGCATTCTCAAAGAAGAATTAAAACTATACTTTTTTCACAGAAGAATATCATATACATCGTGAAGGAAATAGGGAATGAATGAGTAACAGAATAACATAGTTGGAAGGGACATTGGAGGTCCAACCCCTTGCTCATGCAGGAGATCCTACACCATTTCAGACAGTCTCGTCTTAAAAACTTCCAGTGTTGGAGCATTCACAACTTCTGGAGGCAAGTTGTTCCACTGGTTAATTGTTCTCACTGTTAGGAAATTTCTCCTTAATTCTAGGTTGCTTCTCTCCTTAATTAGGTTCCATACATTGTTTCTCGTCTTGTCTTCTGGTGCTCTGGAGAATAGCTTGACTCCCTCTTCTTTGTGGTAGCCCTTCACATATTGGAACACTACTGTAATATAACCCCAGTTCTTCTTGCCTAGACTAGAGAAATTCAATTCCTGCAATCATGTATTTTAGCCTCCCGCCCCCTAATCATTTTTGTTGCTCTTTTTTGCACTCTTTCCAGAGTCTGTTTTGTAATATGGTGACCAAAACTGGATGTAGAATGAGAGAGCTATCATGGGGAAATTTTATGAGTTATTCAGTCCTGAGAAAGAAAACACAAGAAAGACGCTCAAAATAACCCTGCTTTGATTTTCATTAGTATAAAATGAGGCACAAAGAATCTTGGATGGGTTTTCAAGATTCTTTTCTTCTACCTTACTATAATAAAGATCATTTCTGGAATCCATGTCTTGCCGGTTTCTAGATCTTAATCCTAATCTTCAAAAGGCTGATGCAAATATGTCATTTCTCATTCATATCTCAAATCATTTGCATCATTTGCATTTTCTCTAAAGAAAGTCTATTTTGTTATCTCAGTTTTCTGTTTGTCTGGCTTTATTTTGTAAAATAAAAGGAATGCAGGAACTAAAAACTAATTAAAAGGGTGCAGGAACTAAAAATATATTATTATTATATTCATTTATTGGAGTCTTTTTAGTAGTTTTACTGTTTTAAATGGGGTTTTATATTTTGTAAGCTGT